ATTTGATTGACGCGGTTACAACGCTTTTTTGGATGAGATTCCTTGGCAGCAAACAGCTTGAATTTCTCGATTACCCGGAAGGAGAAGGCTGTATACCGAATGCAGCCCTAGTCCGTGTGGGCGGGTTGCTGGGTATTGTATTCCTAGATTAATAAGCGCTGGTAAACGTGAGATATAGGATTCCTAACGCTACCACCCATGTATTTATCTCCTGTTTTCTTGCCCCCAGCCTTACTACTCCAGTATCTGCTGCCTATGGCCATGCGTGTTTATGTAGACGAGCAAACAGTCTTACTGTTTATTTTAACACACCAGCTATGATACTGAATCGTAGAGAATAGATACTGATAGGGGGATAGTTGCGGGATACTGGTGCTAGAAGGAGAAATCGCGTGAATTCTGCCCTAACAAATTGTTATCTGAATTCTAACGCTTGAAATGGCTATTAGTATAGGCGTTAGCGGTGACACAGAGTGTTTTTGATTCCCGTGTGGCGTACAGAAGACGCTCGCGCCATGTCTGGCACGAAGAAGCGACTATAGTTCTAGCACAACTAAAGGTCCTTTATGTTATCGCTGTCAGTATATCTCATAGGGGCTATGTCCCCCCAGGGTACTGCCGGAACGTACCCTGGGTACGGTCCGGCAGTACCCTGGGGGACATAGACCCTCTCAGCGTCCGTATACGTTAACAATCACATGCTAGATAATTACTATATCAGTAGTAAGCTGACACGAGTAGTTTGTGGGAGTTCTAGTTGACATTTATCACTACTGCCCGCATCGGTGCAATTCCTTTCATCGTACCCAGCGCACATATCGCATAATTAGAATAGTGTATAGTTCTATGTATAGTATTACTAGTGTATAGTTCTCTTGTAAGTAGATTCTCTCCCGAAGCCTAGGGCCTTGTGTATAGTAAGACCTATATTCAGTTAATCGCTCTGTATTCGAGAGACTGTGTTTGGTTAAAGGGTCTATATTTAGTTGAATGGGAGATCGTTTAGCTATCAAGTTCTCTGTGCAGTACCTGCCACGAGAGAGAGAGAGAGACCCGTCCGCGTGAGGAGCGGGATGGACAGTTGTATGCCCGAATATCTAGTTATTATACGTTCTATGTATAAGCGTTTATTACTAGTTATAGTTCTATGTCGACATAGTATTACTAGTATATCAGTTCTATGTATAGTATTACTAGTTGTATAGTTATATGTTTATATTACTAGTAAATATAGTTCTATGTATAGCCTATTACTAGTGTATGTTCTATGTATAACGTATTATCTAGTATATACGTTCGTAGGTATAGTATTACTAGTGATATAGATTCTGATGTATAGTATTTACTAGTGTATAGTTCTCATGTATAGTATTACTAGATTATAGTTCTATATGTATAGTTTACTAGTGTATAGTTCTATGTATAGTATTACTAGTGTATAGTTCTATGTATCGTATTACTATGTATATAGTTGCCTATGTAATAGTATTACTAGTATATAGTTCTATGTAAGTATTACTAGTGTATAGTTCTATGTATAGTTTACTAGTGTACGAGTTCCTATTATAGTATTACTATGTAATATAGTTCTATGTATAGTATTCACTAGTGTATAGTTCTATGTAATACGTATTACTAAGTAGTACTAGTTCTACTGTATAGTATTACTAGTGTAAGTTCTATGGTATATATTAGCTAAGTGTATAGTTTTCTTATGTATAGTATTACTAGTAATATAGTTCTATGTATAGTATTACAAAATAGTATATAGTTCTATGTATAGTCTTACTAGTATATAGTTCCTATTGTATAGTATTACTAGTATACTAGTTCTATGCTAATAGTAATACTGAGTGTATAGTTCTATGTATAGTATTACTAGCGTCATAGTTCTATTGTAATAGTATTACTAGATGTATAGTTTTAATGTATAGTATTACTAGTATATATTTCTATTGTATAGTATTACTAGTGTATAGTAGCTTCTAAATGTATAGTATTATGCTAGTATATAGTGTCTATTGTATAGTATTACTAGTATACTAAGTCTACTGTATACGTATTAGCTTAGTGTAATGACGTTCTATGCTATAGTATTATCTATGTATTGACAGTGAGGAGTCGGGTATGGATCATTGTATCGCCGATATTAATTGAACCATGCGTGATCGGCGTCAGGCCCGAAATGATAAGCGAGATGTCACTGCGTGCCAGACAGTGTATGGATTTTACTCTGCCCTCCGGAGAGATGAGAGGAAGAGAAGAGAGAGAGAGAGAGAGAGAGAGAGAGGCGAGTAGGAGACGGAGAGCGCGAGAGAAAGAAGGAGAGAGAAAGGAGAGAAAGAGCGAGAGAGAGGAGAGAGGGAGAAGAGAGATGGGAGAGAGTGGGAGAGAGAGAGAGAGAGAGAGAGAGAGAGGAGTGAGAGAGCCGTTGAGACGAGAGAGAGCGAGGAGAGGAGACAGATAAGAGAGAAGAGGGAGAGAGAGAAGAGAGACGAGAGAGAGAGAAGAGATGCGGGTGGGGAGACAGGGAAGGCACAAAGAGAAAGAGTAAGCAAGGGCGAGAGAAGAGAGCGAGAGAAAGAGAGAGAAAAAAGAAAAAAAAGAGAGAGAGAGAGAAGAGAGAGAAAGAGAGAAAGAGAGAGAGAGAGAGAAAGAGTTGAAAGATGGGTGGAGAGACAGGAAGCCAAAAGAGAGAGAGAGAGAGAGTGAGAGAGAGAGAGATGAGAGAGAGGAGAGAGAGAGGAGAGAGAGAGAGAGAGAGCTACTGGGGAGAAACATT